GTTACGCATTTTTGTATCTATATATTGATCTTTAATGAAATGAAAATTCGAAAAGTAAATTTTTTAATTTTGAATCACACTTTCGACAAATTTGGTTATTTTCATTTTCAAAAACTGTTCACCATTGAACAGGAGTTAATTCTAATTCCTTAATTTATCGTGTCTTTATTTACGTATTAACATAAAAAGTGCGTATTTACGAGAGATTATGTTGTAATTACACTTGCATTTAACGTGTAATTATCATAATAATGAAAAGCAAATCGTGATAGAAGTTGAAACGTAATTAAGTAAAGTTTCTATCTGACAATTTGATTCCATTGAATAGAATCAGCGCTCGAAGCATTGTTCCATAAGTCGATGACAGAAAGGGACTAGCAAAGAGAATATAAAGGGATTTAATGAGCATCTCATGAATTTATCAGGAAGCCTGTCTATAATCATAGACTCGAGCTCAAATAGACTTTCTGCTACGTTACATCTGCATCCCTTATATTTATTTCATGATGTAATCCTATCGACGTACGTCCTTTCAATCTTTTTATTCCACTTGCACTTCTTCTTCGTTCCATTTCATCGGGGGTTTTTTTTTTATATGATAACAAATCTTTTCTAATAATTAAAATTATACAAACAAATGACATACTTTATTTGTTGATCGTACTTTACCTATTTACTTAAACATATATAAAATCAGTTTATATAAGTTAAAGAAACATATTAAATAAATTCCTACATTTTTTAATCACTCTTCGCCAACTACCTGAATAAATTTTAAAAATTCCTAATTTATTAAACAAATAAATTTCAATCTTTTTTTCCTTTTACTGTTATAAAAGCAGGTTAAACAGAGTTTAATAAATATTAAAAAATGGATTTCGTAACGTGAAAAATTCGGAAATTTCGCGGTATACAGGGGGATTAATCACTGACAGCGTTTAAGCCGGAACCTTTATCAAGTAAGTTTAAACAAAGCAAAACAATTTATTTCGGAATCTTGACAAACGGCCTTACATACATTACTTTTCGTTTCGCTTTAACTCCGAATCCCAGGGCTAATGCATCGTCTGCTGTCACAGGGTTAGCATAATGTGCTTAGCAACCCCAGGATCGCACCACGGTCACCTAACGAACAAGTCCTGTACAAGAGCCAGCACTTAATGTTTCCATATGGGGAGCGAATTCTCCCGTTGAGGGCTCGATATTTTTCTCACACATTCTGCACACCATCGATTCTTCTAAATTTCGAAATACTAAATTCGACGATTCTAAATACTACCGCCTCCGACATTTACATTATTCCCTATAAATAATCACTAGACTGCGAATTTTTAGAAGATGACACAGTCTACTATACTTTTATTAAGAAGAAAAAAAGTACAAGTGTTAGGTGAAGATGTATAAATATACCTGTTATTTCTAAAATCATTAAAACAACAGATCTAATATTACGTTAATATCTTGTATCAACAAAATGAATATATTGATAATTTCATTCTAGCACTTTTGCTGGAGTTAAAAATTCATATCTTTTCAGTTTGTTTTTGAAATATATCGATATATTGAATAATTTATATTTAATTTTATATTATACCTCCCTTATAGAAATATCTTCATAAATTTCTCATAAACATTTGAATTTCCACAATATAATTCAACAGGTGTGTTAAATCATTATTATGTTACAATACACGCAAAATAAGGAATGTTACAGAACTGGGTTAGGAGAGTGTAGAGAACGATATAAGTTACCTTAGCAAGATGTAAATTCATCAAGGATTGAATATAGTTGGTTGAAGTTCGATAGGCATTCACCGATATGTCAGAAATTGAATTTTGTGATCGTTAATTTCAGAAACTCGGAAACTTGAAAATAACCTAATTGTAGGGAGAACCATAAGCTCTTGACGTACTTATTAATTAGCGTTGAACAGCTTTCATGTAAGTTAATTGCGAATCATCAGCGGTTTGGTAGAGGAGGTTCTCCAAAAATCTTCTCTCTTCGCTTGTTCCCAGAAACAGATTAAATTCTCGTTTACTATAATCGCGAGTTTAACCGTTAATTATAATAAGATTGAAATTTTCGGGAAAGAAAAATCAACCGTGTAATCATAACCGTTTCAAATCCATTAAATATACTAGAACAAATATTCATGAAGGGAAATTACGAATTAAAAATATTTTAAATCAAGAAACTTACTATACTTAGTGCAATTTTTCGATATAATAAAAAAGTTATTTAAAAAAAAAAACTAAAAACACTTTCACGCAAATGCATTGATACCTACATGTCGATATAAAATGATTTCGAATTTCTTCAGTACACTGTACAATTTTATGATATATAGTAAAACTCTATATCTATATTAATAGCTATATAAAATACAAGAAATTGTCCAACTGTGTTAAACATTCACGAAAAATAGAATGTTCTATTTAGATAATTATCGTTGTGAGTCAAACGTTAATAAATGTAGAAACGGGACAAATAATTTGAATTTGAGTTCTGGAGAGGTGCGGGTGTCTGTAAGAGAAATGCGTCTTATCTATTAACTAGTGGATCCGATGAACCGGAATATCACGGACCAAAGAGGGTAAATAGGGGTACGCTTTGACATCGTCTCGCGATCGCTAAAAATCAGAATCAGAAACCTCGGTACCAGCGTGTTCAAGGAGAAACCTCGGCGATTATGTCGGTAATTGCGTTTCGTCCTTAGATCACGTCGACAACCCGGCTGAGAGCCGAGCCAAGGAACAGGGAGACCTACAGCTTGTAACGCGGAAGCTTTTGATGTACAGGCGGTGAAAATGATGTGATAATTCTAGGAAACAAACCTACCACCCCAAGATATCGCTTTGTCGTGATATACCGACAGCTTAAAGCGACAATGATCGTTTTATGCTTAACGAGACGCACGCAAACGGCACTTTGTTCGTATGCTGCAACTCCATTAACAGGGATTTAAGAAGACAAACAAAACAGTAAGCGATGAAATTAAATCAAATTATAAGCAAAGATATTTATATTGACAAGTTGCCATATTTTAATATCGATAAATACATTAAAAATCTTTAAATCGTTATCCTTACAATAACAAGCAACTTGGCATATTGGTAAAAATCGATCTAAATGAAACGTATCTTCGAAGTTAGATTCGATTTGATTGCAAAATATCGACGTGCCATTCGACGTACGACGGATGAAGGCCAGACAGCGCAATAATTGGTTCGTCCACTTAACACCGGCCCACTGTCCAGTGAATGTATTCGTTGAGATTACGCGAAATGGTTGTAAATGCCAAGAGAACTCCAGTCTGCTGGGGCGACCCTTTCCTCACCCCCGACAAGGGCGAGGCACTATCTCGCAAGTGCAGTTACAACTGCACAAAGGTTAATGCATGCTATTGTCGTTGCCAGACCGACAGAACTATTGCCCTTTTGGTGGACGCTGGACAGACGCATTCAAACGAGTCGCTACGAACCTAAGCTTATTCATACACGTGTATCTGCGACTCCTAATTTGCTCCCATAATCAGCAGTTCCGACATCAATCTTTTGTTTCTGTATAGGAAATTTGGCGGTCACTTTTCTTTATATAATATGGATATTAGGAAATTTGAAAATTTCGAGAAACATTATGGTGAGAGTACAAGTGAGGAAATTTTTATTCTTTGGTTTCTATTTTTCTTTTTTTTCTATATTATGGGATTTAAAAATACATTTCTTGTACTATGATAATTATATTCATAGTAAACCTATATCTGTCATACTATATATGGTAAATAATCAAATATACTATTGCTACATCTTTAAATAATGAACTTCGATTTATAGACTGATGTCTATAAAAAGGTAACAAGTATTCCTCCCAAGTAGGCACTATTTCATCGTGAATTTTCACACTTTGATAAAATACACACACTGTTACTACGAATCGACGAAAGTATCTGTATATTCATAAACAGCTGTATATACATAGCAAGTTTTATTTCATGCTTAATTTATATGCGCGACTCAAGACAAAAGGGAATACGGAAAATTGCTTAAGCGTTTTAAGCGTTCGATTTAATGGAATCCTTTGTAAAAGCGGCGCTTTTAAACGGGAACCATTGCTCCCCGATCCTCTTATTTTGCTCATGGTTATTGTTCCTCGTTAAAAACACCGTAACCGCTAAAGCAGCCGACATAAAAGCGTTGTACGAATAATAGTAACTACTCTATGGCTCGTCTGCGTTCTACGATGAAGGGTGATAAAGTGAAACGAGACTCATCACGCGAATGGAGGAGACACACCACCTGTCAGGAGAATCAAAATCAGGCTGGATCAAAGCGCATTGAACACGGATTGCGTGCATCCTATCACATAAAGAGAGTGTTTTTCTGTTGGCGAATCAGAACGCAAATTATGTAGCCATGCCCGAGAAAAGGGGACTATGAGCCAGAAACTGATGGAAGAAACGAGAGGAGACACAACGAAGGGAGTGTGGTTGATAGTGATAGGATCAAATTCAATATGTACGGTAGAATCTTCGTTACCGACCATGACACAATATCCACGTCCAAGATGTACCATTGATTTTAAAAATGTTTCATGTTACCTAAGGTTTAAAAAAAGAAACACATTTTCTCATAAATGGATCCTAGAATTCTATTGATACATCATAGAAAATATTTCTATTAAAAACACGAATATTTTAATTCATAATTAAAAAATATTTCTTAACCACTTAATAAGCACAGACGGGAATAGATTTTCTTTAATATAATTAATTATCTTAATTCTCTACCTTCATGAACTACTACTACCATATCTTGTAAAGTATATATTGTACATCTATTTTCATTCTCAAGGGATTAGTGATAATATCTAAATATATTAAAACATTTAAATGTATTACGAGTTGTAACGCTTGTAATTTGTCAATGTTTTCATCTGTTTGCAACGTATTTGAGGCCATCGCTGGTAGACGGAAAAGGCTAAGTCGATTTTAATTTAACAGGAGGACAAATTAAAAGGCATCAATCTGGAGGGCAAAGCACTGCAGGAGATTAACAGTTGCTTCTCAAGGATCGGGAAATATAAGGGGAACAAGAGGGAAGAAGCTAACCCTTCGATCAAAACTACCAACCGCATATCCGATTCCCTTCGTTCGGAATTTCCGAAGGGAATCTTCCCCAGAGGGTGAACAGAGTCGTCTAAAAAATTCGCGGACCCCACATTTTCAGCGGATTGATCAATTAACGATAATTACACTGGCCTAAGTTTGCTGAGGAACGTCCATCTCTGTTCGTGGCAGTGGCAACTTGGAATTGATCTTGCGGTCGATGATTTTTTAATTTTGTTACCTTACGTTTTACCTTCATTCTGAATTGAGAAAATGAGGAACGTTAATTTAAAAAAGAAGAGGACAAATTAACACCATGGTTATAAATCAAAATGAAGATAAGTTCTGAAACAAAATAATAACGTACTGCAAAATAATCTCTTCAGTCAATGAGATTGAAATTAGCTCAATAATAGGAGAACAAGAAATAATATTATATTTAAAACTCTAAATCTCGTTTTTAGTATTCTCGTTATTATGATTGTTCCGCATTTTATCGTGTCAGCGTATGTTTTCTATACTAAATATTCAAATACTGAGTCACTATATCCACTGCTATCAACACAAACAACGTATCACCATTGAAAATAGCTATACCACGTGCCCATAAATTGCAGCGAAATAAAAATCGCTCCATTCGCTCGACCATTACTTTTATCTAGAAATTTTCAGATTTTTGCCGCGTGTCGTTTCGATCGGGCCACTGAAAGCAGTCGACGGGTCACATTATCTGACCCGCGTCAATTTTTCGGAAAATCGGTCTCCTGCGGAATATTCCGACTGCGGGTCTATTATCAAAATTGATCGTCCCATAGCAGGATTGTCCAATCGTACAATACTAGTTCCTATTGAAGCATCTGGACCTCTAACAGAGGGTAAAACGATTGGTATCGAGTCGCATTGTTCGATAATGGCGGCTTCCCATAAGCTACGAGCAACTTGAGATTAGATTTCCTACAAAATCGGCTGATTTCTTAGGATAAACCAATTTTTTTCAAATTTTATGAAAGATTCGTGTTTAATTTTCGCTGTCCTACGTGTGTATTTAATGGCGCCATTTTTGTTCTTCTTTCATCTTTCTCAGCGAATACATTAAATTCATACGCTATTCATCGAACAGTGAGATGCGATAGACAGAAGCACGCGATGAAATGAAACTGAAAAATTATAACAATTTCATATAAAATAAATAGCCGATAAAGCAACAAGCGACTATCTAAAAACATAATTTTCTACATACGTACACATTTCACTCTTACAGAAATACGGACACTGTATTCTATATATCTAGTCGAAAGCATACGTCCGATGCTTATGGAAAATCCCACTTTTACAAAAGCTTGTAAAGTCGTGGCCTATGAGCAGCTGTCTTCTCATTGCAAAATTGTCGAACGAAGAACGAGACTAGTATTGGCTCTTGCCAATAACCCTCGAGCGAAATGATACTGCTGATCCAGCTATGCTTCCGAAAACACTTGGCTTGGATATTAGTATTGCTGGACCGCGGTTGAAAGGAGGATAACCGGGTATAAAGAGGAACACGAGGATGGAAAAGTAATGAGGCCGGTAATAGGTCCTTCGCGCGACGATAATGCGCCTCGGTTTCTGTTACGACCGACCACTGAATTGGAAGAATCCTGCTTGACATACTGCGATAACCTGATTCTGATTCAATCAGTGCGGAATATGGAGGAAGATAAGAAGAAGATTTTCTAGGAGAGTGGAGGAGATTGTTGCAGGTAATTGTGGTAATTGATTTATGAGTATTTGTTCTTTGCAGAATATTTTCTTCGTTTCTTTTGTTTTATTTTTATGAGAAGTGGCGGATATTGTTATGCTTTTGCATGAAGAAAACTGTACCCGGAGTTAAACCAATTAATTTTCGAACATATCCGTTTTATTTTCTAAATATGTTACTTTATTTCAGCCATTTTGTAGGTACTTGAGGTTGATAAATGTGTACGTGCGTCAACAGAAGTCATTCATCAAGGGGGAAACGACGCGTTTTACAAGAAAAAACTGGTAGAGTCTTTGCAGATTATTTAAAAGGAGTGGAAGACTCTTTGGACAACATTTTCTCTCGTTTCCAGCAATTAGCAGCCTTGACGCCAACTCATTAGCGGTTTATAAGGAAGTGAGCACATATAAAAGTTACTTACGCTTTACTTTGAGCCCCTCGTTTCACGAGGAAGAGCCAGCAACGTACAGTCGTACAAAGAATTTAAGTGAAGCTAATTTTCAGGAAAGCTGTTACGCTTCCGGCCTATTTCAAGCCACATTATTAACTTAAGTACAGCACTGTTTTCTTCTGTGCATTTTCCACGAGCATCCCCCACGCTCTCCCCTTCCCTCTTTATTATTGTATCTTACTGAACTACCTCCTTTCCTATTTAACTTCGATGGCTCTTCGAGTTTTCTTCAATCTTAACTTCCACTCCTGGATCACGTGCATTCTATAATTTAATGTTAAAGCTGGAAATTTGTTAATAAAGACAGATCGAAAATAAATTTGGAAGTTGCCAAGTTTGAAATTCGACACTGATTACTTCGATTAAGGCTTAGAAAGTAAATCTTTCTTCCCAAGACGAAGACAATCGATAAGATAATCAAACTGTTGTCAATGAACTCTACTTCGAACGTTTCAAAATCGTGGAAATAATAATTAACGGTTTAAAATTCGACCAGGTCTCTGTGATCAATTAATTAAACAGAAGTTTCAACGAGGCAAATATAAAATTACCAAGCAATAAAGTTCGGAGGCGTGGTCCGAAAGACGAACTTTTAATCGCTTGGTCGGGAAAACTATCTCGTGTTTCACGTTCAAATTAGGCCACGTTAAAGGGGAGTCACAATCTGGTGTCAGACAGGTGAAGCTGCCCCACGAAGACTGGTCGCTAATTATTTCCGAATTAACGGCACATTAGTCTTGTGTCCCCATTACGACGTAGTTCGGACAGCATCCTGAAGCTTGGATTAACGTGAATGCAGGATTACCGGGGACAGAAATTAAACCCGATGTCGCTGTTAAATAGTTTCCACTCAGCTACCAAGTGACGGTAATGATCGTAAATTAATCGACCAAACCTACCTACGCGCGAATCGATAACGACTTTATTCGCATAGACGAAATTTATAAAAAGTATTTGCATACAGAAGATTAATTTTCCTTCGATGGAAATTTGATAAATTCGTGTATTGGTAAAGTATTTTTGATTCGTGAAATTACTTTTTGATGTTTGAGATAACATTTTTCCAATATCAGGCATTTTAATAAGAATCGTTTCGTGATACCTTCAGAATCATAACGGAGTTATTCAAAATGATCATCGTAGAGAAGTTAGTTGTAACTGGTTTAACACGTTGACTACTAATAATATCATAACGCGTCATGAATTGCTTGCTATCGGAGGCCTACGTTGAAAAGCAAATGACCGACATGTATAGCAACTAAGTAAATCCAATCCAGAATGTCCTAAATTCTTTAAAAATGTCGTTAGAGTAACACCAAATAGAAGTCGAGTGTATAGCAAATCTTTGTTACAGGAGTTTCCTTAAGAAGGAAGCAAAAGAAGTCTAAAAGAGAAGAAAAAATAGAAGAAAGAAGAATGTAACAAGAGGCGAGAGAGTTCTATACAGAGAGAAGGCACGGAATTATATTTTTGATACGACGCAGAAGTTTCTCCCCGGGGACAGTAAGGAGAACGCATTTAACGTTTACGTCGTCGATAAGAAAAATCTCGTCGGGAACTGGTCTCGCTGTTGTAGGAACCCTCTTGCCGGTACTTTCGATGTCGAGGTGCTTCGTTAATTCGCCTTCAAGCTTGGAAATAATTTCCAGGCGGAGAATTTCATCAGGACGAGGGTAAAGTAGCCCTTGTAACGTCTGCCAGCCAGCTTAACACTCGTTTAAGTGTGCACGTATACGTACGGGACAGCGGTTTTAGTCGTCGCTGACGAAATATTACTTTCGTTATTGTCTGTCTCAGAGCGGCAGCAACAACCGGTACGAAGGGTTCTTCTCCCCTGTGAACTGTTTTAATTAATCCACGTCGAATTAACGGTTAAAGCATCACGAACTCGACAGACCTGGACTACCGTTCTCCTATCTCGTCGCGTAATCCTCTTACTTTATAGGATTCGTTATTGTACATACCTCGTTGACTATGATGCTCGAAAACCTTTCGCCGTTTATTTACGACCGATTCCTCAAATCCTCCCGCTACTGATTTTTCATTTTATCGTACGAACGATTGAAATCGATTCTATATTCGATGCACAAGCATAGGATATCCTATGCAATTGAAACGAGACGTATCTTTATATTTGGTGTTTCCATGATGTATAAATCAAGATAAAAAGGAAATGTTATACGAAAAATAAATAAATAAGAATTCACATTCTACACAACAATGAATTCTTACATACATGTATTATATGTATTTCGTGGATTACAAGTTCATTTTTCCTTGTTCCTTTTCCTTGGTATTCTAATTCTGTTAGAATAATTTCAATTTTCGCACGAACCTTACGTGCGGTTAACGTCAAAAGAAGGGTCAAGTCAAAAGAAACACACAGTGTGCTTTTATTCTTCTATCCTGTGAAATTCGAAGCGTGACCGTGTCGAGACATTAGTAACCCAGCACAAACACGGAAGAGAGACAGGGTCACCGTTTCTATGCGTCACAAAGCGCATCGTTTGTCGATTTCCCCTCCTCTCCTAGCGCGCAAACGTAAATTAAAAATGCTCTGGCCCTTCCTCCAGCGTTTAATGAACGAACGACAAAAGAGCAGCCGTTGAAACGCGGCGCAAAGGCAGAGTTCCGACAAAAATTAATATCGCCCTCTTCGCCGCCGACGCTTGTTACGCAAGCACGCGCACCACTTCCTACAAAAAGCGTGTGTAACGCACCTAAAAGTGTAGATTCGTGACTCGTTGCTGGCGAAAGTTCCGACCGTTCTTCCGGTAACTTGATTTTCGATCCAAACGAGCGCACGCTATAGCAAAATAGGGTTATTTCAGTCGTCTAAGCTTCGAAATCTTAGAATGTAATCTCCAACTTTCCACTAAATAATCAAACTGGCTGTACCTATATTACAAGACACCATTAGTCTTTAATACGAAAGAATGAGAAATATCATGTACTTATCATGCCCAGCACGAAAACAATATCAAAGACAATAAAATCATCACGATATCAAACCAATAAAACAATTAGAATAATCATGTGCTGGGATTATTTGAGACAACCAGCATATCATCCTGACTTAAACAAGTCCATCTTACTATATACCATAAAATATAATAAATTTTCGCTGAAAAATATTTCTTAAGTTCGATTGATGCAACAGATGAAGAAGGCAGCTTCGTTTTCTGCGATCCTAATATAAAGCACGTGAGGGTCGTATGTATGGTTCTAACACATTTTTGGTCGAATGGCGCGCGACCGCGAAAATTATGGACGTGCCAAAGTTCAAAGTGCTCCCTCCGGGCCCCGACTGTTGTTCCGCAAAAATAGCTAAATTGTTGACAAAGAAACGTGGCGCGATATCGTTGTCTCTAAATAGTAAACATGAAATATTTGTTTCCTCTTATGACCAATGTAATTGTTTCCTTGCCAATGGACTTTTCGCAATTTCTTGCAGATGTATGTATGTATATGTATCGTATATTGTAAAACGTATTAATTTTATGCAACAACTTTCGAATCGTTTGAATAACCATCTAGTCATCGAATAAACCAAAATGCATAAACTAAAAACTAAAGAATATAGAAGAAGTTTGAAAGAGAATGATGGAGTAAAACGTATATACGTATAAATTGTTCGTTATTTCGCGGAATAAGGTTTCGGGAAGAATTCTTTTGATATTAGTCACACGCCAGATGCATTAAGACATGACGTCATTTGGGAACGATTCATTGACATTTGCCAGCTTCGCCTCGGTTTCTGAATAGAATCTTTTTAAAAGTCGCGAGTGTAGCTTCCTGTCACGGAGACGCGTGATTGTTTGAAACCCGGCTGTTCTTGCGCGCGAAAAAAAGCTCACGAAACTCATTAGGCTTTGCTATTTGAATTTTTATCGCTCGCGTTTCACGCCTTCATTAAGTACCGCTGAAAGGCGGACTCGTTTTTCCTCACACATCTCGTCTATCGTTTCTTCGTTGTGATGCGGGTGTCAGTAGGTCAAGCCTGTTTTTACGTAGCACATTTCTCGCAGTTAAGAAGTGGTATCTGATTTATCAGGCGAAAGAAACTGTTTCTTTATTTTTTTAAAGTCGAAGCTTTTGCACGCCTCAATTCTTTTACTTCCATTACAGATACAATTTCTGATTAAGCAAGTAATTAATAGAACATTTATATTTTCAGATAGTCATAAGGAAGGATTCGTTCGATCGTTTCGGTTCTCTTGCAGTTCATTTCTGGCAAAGATAACAATTTATCTGGTAAACAATTTATGTATCCAGATTGTTGAATTGATTTAATTTCACTGTAACAGTTAATTTCTGGCGCTTCTTACACGAATAACCTTTGACAAACATATTACTTATGAAATTAAACGTACTAATTATGAAACCAAATGGATGTATAGATTTAAAAAATTCAAATTTGTTCAAGAAATTCACTTTTTCTCGTTGAGTGCCCAACTGAGTTTCATAGAGACGAACGAAGTTCAAATGTTTCGTCGTTGATCAGAGACGATTCCACGACGTGAACACGTTGAAATAGCGCAAAGGTCTGCCGTCAGGCTGTGATCATTATACACGCAGCTTTAATTACGGCGTTTAGGCAACACGGTCGAACGATCTGGCGACGCGAGAGAATTTAATTACACGGCAGGACGAAAAAGGCCACGAAGGCGAAAGTGGGCTGCCGTGTGCCTCCATACATACGGGATTGCGGGTTGGAGAAGGCAGTTGAAAGCAAAGGATGGCGGAGAAAGCACGGCTAGGGCAACCAAAATTAACCCGAGCACCAAGCCGTCGAATATTGTATGTATATAGATGCATCGCTATTGCGTAACGACCTTCCTACAACAGCAATCAGGAATCTCGTAAGAGAAGAGAAAGAGAAGAAGAGAACCTACGTGTACAGCGAAACGCAATTTTGTATAGCATCAAGTAGATGATCTTGATTCTATTCGTGAATTAAATTAGTGAGCTTACAAGTTGACTTATGTGCGTACGTGTGTGTAACCAAAAATACCTAAATATTGCCAAATAATCAAGAATATCTAACTCAAGCCCTAAGAACAGAACCATATCAAAAGGTCTTCTTCGCTAAAAATTTTGACGCAAAAAGGAGCAACAAGGGTAATTCTCTGTAAAAAAAGAAAAAAAAGAAAGAAGAAGTGGAAAACGAAAGCAAAACGGTATCAACGAGAGCTGATGAAAATGGAGGGGTATCGCGGCTCGAATGAAATAGCGGGCTATGGGGGTGTGCAACCACGCGACTCGCGCGCAACGTCGATGAAGTAAAACGCAGCCAGGGTAATTGGCGCACCTTTCAGATGTAAATGCGGTTCGTTAGGGGGTTTCCACGAGCGATGCATCGCCGACGGCCACGCTAGGGTGTCGACAGCCACCAGGACTCGGCCAGTTGGAAATACTCCCCAGTCGTCCATATACCGACGCAGACCTCTGTCCAACGTTACCATTACTTCCTGCCACCCATTGGTTACGTATAACTCACCTAAGGTGTTAAATACCGTATCCACATTTTCGTGATAATATCAGAATGAACGGTTGTAATTCTTTTGGATAATTGTGGCAAGTTTAATTCAAGCGAGGATAGTTATACGTAATTAATCAACAGAGTGAAGATGAAATGGCAAAAAGAATATGAAAATAAAATACCAGATGTGGATTCAGGCCTTTGTAACGTTAGATTTTGTAAATTGTAAATTAAGGTGTAATGTTGCATTAAAGCAATATCTAATTTGGAATTTTTTTTCATATATAAATTTATACGATTGAGTTTTATGCTTTAATATTGTGCTGATCAGAAGAAGTTGGAAACATTTGCTTAAGGTGTTTTTAATTTCATTCGTTCTTCTATTTGAATTGTAGAGAAATTACAGTTTCAAAATATATATTATCATGCTACAAATAATTTGCAAATATTATTTTGTATCGGAACAAATTGTTTGCTGAATGTTTTGCTTTATTTACGTATCGATTACATTTCAAATGATCAGAGGACGCATAAACACTCTTTGAAACATTTATCATGAAACGTTATGTCGGATATTACCTCAGTGATAAAATGATAAAGATAAAAACACAGAGCATTTTTGCAGTATAAAACGTTTTTAAAATAGCGATCGAAATTTTTCAACGATAAGCCAAAGTTAACTTGTATGAAAAAATATTCGTATTTATAAAATCGTTTCCTGCACTGATGGATTTTTGACGTTTTACGTGAAATAAAATATAGATATATATAAATTCTCGTTAACCCTTTCACGTTCAATATTGCAAATATTGGTGGTGTTTCAAAATGGCTATCTAACCATGAAAAAATCAACAAAATCAAGTGCTATCAAAACTAATATCACTTTTCATTTAACTATTGGACTACATACCATACTATCAACTGTCGTTTCAGGTAATAAAACTTTAATTTCACGTAGTTTTTTCAAAATGTCATAATATATTCCATCAAAGTATGCTTTTTCAATGATTATTTTATTTTAATATTCCAGATTTAGAAGAATTATCAATTTTGGAATTGGGAAAGTCTTGGAACGGAATTGTTACGATTTCTTCATTTAGAAATTTCCTTCAAATAATTTATACATTCGAAAATTGTTCAGGAATAGGAAATGTCATTTCATATGTATCAATCTAATACAAATTTTATTACTTACATTGATAACGAAATCATCAACACATGGTAAATGTCACATTATATATAATGTAATACAAATTACAAATAAATTACAAATTTTATCATGTATTAGGTTGATTGAATTTTTATGCTGACAAGAACATTGTTGAATTTTTAAGCTGGGAATAGAATTTTACTCATCTTGCAGGATCTAAGGCAAGTTATTCATGGACCAATCAACTATCAACTCCATATCGATCACGAGTGTCACAGCGGCGTACAAGTATTATTGACGGTACGAATTATCCCTCACATCACGATGAGATCTCTGGAATAGCCAATAGGGTAATATTGTAGTACACCCCGTCTAATTATCGTACGTGCCTAATTTCAAGGTACCGCGTTGAAACGCACTAACCGTAACTAACGCTGATCGGTAAATGCTATTAATCTGCAGCTTGACTTCTGCTAATCAGCAGCCTACAAAACACCAAGTTTCCCTTCTCCGTCACAAATTATAGAAACTTCATTGGCAATGTAAGGATCGCACATAAGTTCTGCTTCGATTTTCATTCATTATGGCGACATTCATT